GTAAGAATTTGGAGTGACAGGCTAATCTTCTATAATCTTCTGGGAAGAGAATAGCGACGCCTGTGCTTATCCGGGAGCCACAAAGGAGGATCCTGATAAGAGGGGAGCTCCTTCTTCCCCTCTTCTTTGGAGGGCATCGGAAATGACGTCATGTGCAAGCCACGTATACCCGTTTTTCACCTCAAGAAAAATTCAAGTTTTGCGCATTGTTCATAGGCGACACCAAATAGTTCTTCTATCTGTTATGTATCAGACTATGTTTATTTAGGGCATAGTCTTGAACATAGAACCTGGGATGCTGCTCCTGGTTAGTGTTCGATGGAATGTTCCCGAGCGCGCCAAAATCACTTCGTCTTCGGCAGGTTTCCATGAGCACCCGAGCCAGGGGGCGCTGGCTGTTAGTCAACACACATAACACGCCCCACCCCCCTTTTTTTTTCGAAAAAAACAAACAAAAAATCAAATTAAATGAACACACACAATAAAAATTCCAAAGCACTTGAGATCTTCATTGTATGAATCTTTGAGGTTTCACCACTTTTCTACCTGCTCGTGTGTAGTAGTGCTGGTACGAGTCTGCTGCCTGTGGAGGGGGTGGCGGTGACTGTGGGCTGGCTGCAAGTGGAGAAGGAGCTGCGGCATAGTAATCCTCGGCTGTAACAGTTGCTGTTGGCGGCTGACTGTGAGCGGGTCGGATGTGATACCTGTTGCGCCTATACATGGTGCCCTTCCGGTGTCATCACAACGTATGAGCGGTGCTGGGGTCCCACATAATTAATGTAGCCTGGTGTCCACTTGCCACAGTGCTGAAACCACACTTTCTGGCCTTTCTGAAGTGCAACCAAGGGCTTGGTTCTCTTATCCCCATGCCGATGCTGCCGTTCCTGACGAAAATGTAGACGAGATTGGGCCTCGGTGCAGTTGTAGTGGGGCTGCAGTTGAGTTGGATTCATCGGGACCAGTGTGCGGATTTTTCTGCCCATTAGGAGCTCTGCAGGCGACTTCAGTCCATCCATGGGAGTGCTTCTAGCATACATAAGCACAACAAAGAGGTCTTTTCCATCTTCTACAGCCCTCTGAAGTGCGTGCTTTATGGTCTGAATGGATCTTTCAGCAAGTCCATTCGATCTGGCGTAGTAGGGTGAGCTGGGATTGTAGGCGATGTCCCAGCTGGTGAGGAACTCTTTGAATTTCGCGGCATTAAATGGCGGTCCATTGTCACAGACTAGTTCATCAGGTACTCCAAATCTGGCGCACACAGCTTTCATAGCGGTGATGACAGCTTCAGTGCAGGCGGACGCCTTGGGTTGTAGTTCCACATACTTGCTAAAGTAATCCACGATGAGTAAGTAAGTCGATCTGTTAAAGTAGAAAATATCAGCTGCAATCTTTTGCCATGGGCGGTCAGGCAAGTCACTATCAGCAAGTGGTTCATGTTGGTTTTGTCGCTGGTAGCGCTGGCAATGCTCGCACCGCTGAACTATCTGCTCAATGTCTTTGTTCATTGAGGGCCAGTAAAGAGCCTCTCGTGCCTTGTTCTTACATGACACAATGCCACGGTGTGCTCCATGTAGTTTCTCTAGGGCGTCCTGCTGACATGATGTAGGTAGAACCAGTCGCTGCCCACGGCATATTAGACCTTCACATACGTGCAGTTCATCTTTGCAATGCAAAAAGGGTTTTGCTGTCACTTGAACTGAGCGCTGTTCTGGCCAACCTTCTCGTATGTACCTAGAGACTTGCTGCAGCACCTGATCTGCAGCTGTTGCCTGACGAATCTGTTCCAGTTTTGTCGTCAACGCGTTGACTAGTGTACAGATCCCCAGACTCTCTCCGGGCTCAGAGTCTCGGCATGAGTTTGTGTTGGCAGGTGCTCGAGAAAGCGCGTCTGCGACGGTGAGCTCTTTTCCTGGGACGTATGTCAGACGGACATCATATCGCTGAAGCCGAAGAAGAAGAAGCTGTAGCCGTGGTGTGACCTTCTCGAAGTCTTTTTGTTGTAGACCAATCAAAGGCTTATGGTCAGTCTGAACGGTTACGATTCTACCGTAAATGTAATAATGGAAGTGCTCACAGGCAAAAACTATGGCGAGTAGCTCTTTTTCAATTTGTGCGTACTTCTGTTGAGTAGGGGTCAGAGCGGCTGAGGCATAGGCAACTGGATGGCCTTCTTGGAGGGAGAACACCACCAACTCCGTATGAGCAGGCATCTGCTGAAACCACAATGTCCCTGGTATTGTCAAAGAAGCGCAGGACAGGTTTCTCGGTGATCATACGCTTGATTTTGATGAACTCTAACGTCAGGTTCTCATCCCAGTGCCATGGGACGTCGGTCTTTAGTAGCTGTCTCAGGCGTGCCATTTCACTGGAGGCATTTGGCATGAATTTGGTAAGGTAAGTGACCATACCAAAGAATCTGAGCAGCTCTGCCCTTATTTTCGGGCACTGGCATAGCAATGATGGCCTCTATTTTTTGCAGCGTCAGCTTGAATTCCGTCTGCCGTTAGCTGATGTTCCAGGTAGGAGATGGTGGACACTGCTACTTTCCTCTTCTTCACGTTGAGTTTGAGGTTGTACTTGCGTGCAGTCAGCAGAACTAGATGTAGTTGCTTAATGTGTTCGTTCATTGTCTTTGATACGATGAGAATGTCGTCAAAGTAGGGGTAAACGCCATTGATGCTGGCGAAGATGTCATCCATGGCACGTTGTAGGAGTTCGGGAGCATTTTTTAGTCCGAATGGGAGCCGCAAGAAGCGATACCGGCCCCAAGGAGTTGCAAAAGTGCAAATGTACGAACTCTCCTCAGACAGTGTCAGCTGCCAAAAAGCTGTTTTCGCATCAAGGAGAGTGAACACAGTGCATCCACTCAAGTGAGCGAACAGTTCCTCCTGCGTCGGAATGCGATAATGCTGACGTTTGATGGCGTTATTCAGCTGTCTGGGGTCAAGGCAGATCCGTAGGCTGCCATCTTTCTTCGGTACCACTACTAAGGGGTTCACCCAATCTGTTGGCTCAATGACCTTTGTGATGATGTTGTCATGTTCCATCTCGTCAAGCTCCGCCTTTACTTTCTCTATGATAGCTAGTGGAATCTTGCGGGGAGCAGCGACAGAAGGTACTGCTCCGTCTTGGAGCGTGATTGCCACAGTTCCCGGAAGCTGACCAATTCCAGTAAACACATCCTGAAAGTCCTTGATGACGTCAGTTGCGGCCAAAAACTTGGCTGTAGGTGCTCCAGCGTCGGTTGATTCGCTCGACGAGTCCAGGTGCCGAAGTCGCTGTATCAGCTGAAGATCCTCGCATGCCTCAGCACCAAGAATCGGGATAACATTACGGTCCACAACCACGTATCTCAAGTTGCGGCTAAGGTCTCTTGTCTTTGTTTGTAAAATGCACTCGCCACTGATCGGCAGATGATCGGCAGTGTAGGTGGAGACCCTGACACAGGTGGGTTCTACCTTTGGTGGTTGACTCCATTTCCGAAGAACATGCCTGGGAAGGACGTTTACGTCAGCCCCCGTCTCCAGTTTGAAGGTGACCTTGTTGTTGTGAACATCAACTGTGGCCCTCCAAGAGGTTGTCTGAACGTTGTCCACTGTCAGCTGTCCCAGAAAGAAACCGTCGTTGTCAAGACTGGATATGTGGTTCCCTGGGCCAGATCTTGTTTGTCGACATACAGATGCAAAGTGCCCAAATTTACCGCACCTAAAGCAGCTGCTCCCATAGGCAGGGCAATTTCTAGGGGCATGCACCATACCACACCTCGAACAAGGCCGGGTTGTAGGCGGGTGCTGTGGATGCTGTTGCGGTTGTGGCGGGCGTTGTTGCTGTTGCGGCGGGCGTTGTTGCTGTTGCGGCGGTTATGTCGGGTAATTGTACCGGCGCCGTTGTTCGCGGTCAAAATTGGCATCTCGCGAATTGTTTCGATGCATTTCGTCCACCACCGTCTTAGGTGCAGTTGCTTGGAGATCCTTGACATGTTTTTTTTTTATATTTCTGCGGCTTTCCAGGTTGATATTATTCTTTCAAGGGTAAGGTTCTGCTCGCGGAAAAGCCGTTCGCGAAGTGCCGAGTCTTGGATCCCAACGATAATCCTGTCACCAATGAGCCGATTCCCTGTGCTGCCGAAGTCGCAACGTTGAGCCTGAAGTCGGAGCTCAGTGACGAAATCATCAATGGACTGGCCCGCCTGCTGTGTCATCGAGTTAAAGATGGCAGTTGCTTGGGTTACGTTCTTATACGGCTGGTATAGCGCGTCAAACTGCTCTAAAATATATTCGACCTCGTTGAAGGAGGCTGCGGCTTCTGCGGGTAAGGCTGGAGGCGGTGGAAACGTTTGGTATATCCGACGTGCCTGTGGTCCAAGTACATGGAGGAGGAGCGCTTTCCGTGCTGCTTTTGGTTTCTGGGCGTACTCGCAGGCTGTCTCGTAGATGGGGTAAGAGGATCGCCATTCCTCCCACGAGATCGCTGGGTTTTCCGTGTTGGGCTCGAACGCCGATGGCGGCTGGATGAAGACACCTGCCATGTCGCGGCTGGTGCGTCGTTGTTGCGTCGTTGGTGCGTCTACTGGCTCACTTCTGACACCATGTTATGTATCAGACTATGTTTATTTAGGGCATAGTCTTGAACATAGAACTGGCATGCTGCTCCTGGTTAGTGTTCGATGGAATGTTCCCGAGCGCGCCAAAATCACTTCGTCTTCGGCAGGTTTCCATGAGCACCCGAGCCAGGGGGCACTGGCTGTTAGTCAACATACATAACACTATCGACATTTGGTTGCCCGAGGGAAAAGCGATGCTTTTCCCTCGGACAACCAAATGTTTGAACAACCAAATGTTTGGAACGTGTACGTCTTGATAAGATAACATATATCTAATCTACAATTCACCTACATATATCTTAATTATCAACATCAAGGGGGAAATTAGTAATGCTCCGCGAGGAGACGAACTTATTTCACTACGGTTCTTGATGTGAAAACCGCTATAAAGTTGTATACACCACGTTAGCGCAAACGAAAAATCGCCGTTTTTTTTTTTATTATTTTTTTTATTAGTTTTGAAGGATTGACATCAAAACTATACTATGGTGGTGGAAAGTGCTCAGTTCGGACACTATCCTGAATGGTAAATGCTGATGCCTGTCGGTACTCTTTCGCAAAAATGCGGAAGAGCGCCGGGGTCGCGCTAGCAGTGACGCAGTGCACCACCGCACTGGTATCTCGCAAAATGCGCACCGCTAAAAGATCACGCAAAGGACAGTGTGTAAACACTGTCTTCCGAGGGTTTCTTGCTCCCGTCACGTTGGTCATACACGAACTGTCTGCAGACGTGTTGGAAGTTTACATAAGTACGAAGCTTCCAACAATGACGAGGAGCGTCCGCAGAGTTCGTCATGTCCGCCGACCGTGTCCTTTGCAAGTTGTCGCCACTCTAAACACAATGATTTCTTTTTTTTAATGTTTCGGTTTTTGCATAGGCGTCGCATGCGGCGCGGCGAAGGTTACAAGCGCCAGGTTAAAGTTTCGCGGAGTGCTTCCTCCCCTTGCGCAGGTGTTCGCATCCAGCGGAAGACTTGGAAGGCATTCGAAGCACGACGACGCCCTGCGCATATAGGGGCTCTAGTCTACAAAGCACTTTCGGGGCATATTGATCAGCGTATAGCGCACGCAACGAAAGCGGATGAGACGCGTGTGTGTTTGTGGCGGGGGGGGGGGGGGGGGGGGGATGTTCGCGGTTTATGAAAGAGCCCTTCCTCCACTCCGCTTCAAAAGATGAGAGGTTCGCGTTTCTTGAGCCACAGTCAAACTGCTTGTAAGTCATACAAAATACACGGTGTTCGCCGTAGAGACGGTGACAGAATTGTCTGCGGCTGTGCCCCAAGCACGTGCCAAGCATGTTTGCTTCGAAGATGTCTGCCGGACAGGAAGGCCGTGCAAGAAAGAAACACGCCCGAGGCAGTGACTGTGGACTGTCCTTTGTATGCTGTATTAGCAGTGCGTGCCCCCCCACGTGATGTTGCGAACAGCTATCTCCCACACAATTAGCTTCGAGCGCGTTGCATTACCCAGCGTACGTGCATACAAACTGGCTTCAAATTGCGATAGCGACCGCTATGAGCTGGAATCAAGACGCTGAACACAAGAAGCTCCCCGTTATCTTCGCTCGCAGACGTCGGAATTATTTCCCATCCTTCCTTTGTCCGGGCGCGCATTTAGTACCAAACAGATGTGTTTTTTTTTTTCCCCGTCAATACGGCGTGATTT